AGTCGGGTCTGTGTTCGCCCAGAGGTGTGGCCGCAGTCCTCGACCAAAACGCCGACGGTTTCATCAAAGGCGAGGCCGTGTGCTGTGCTTTCCTACAGCGCCGGCGCGACGCCCGGCGTGTGTACGCTTGCATGGTCAACGCCAAGATGAACATCGATGGCAACAAAACGACCGGAATGTTCTTCCCATTGGCCGACGCACAGCAAGAGCTCATGATTGATACCTATACCGAGGTCAACATCAATCCGCTTGACCTTACCTATTTCGAAGCACACTGTACCGGCACCAAGGTACAATTTAGAAATACAAATTTCGTTTTATTATTATTACAGTATATTGTAACAACTATAATGCAATCAATTGTTATATATAGGCGGGCGATCCACAAGAAATAAAGGCCATATATAATGCCTACGTTAAGGCTCCGGGACGTACGCAACCCCTGCCGTTGGGTGCGTTGAAGAGCAATATGGGCCACGCGGAGGCCGGTTCAGGGGTGGCCGCACTCATTAAAGTGTGTATTGCATACGAGAATGAATGCATTCCTCCCAACCTTAATATGAAACAACTGAAAGATGAATGTCTTCCTTATTGCCCGCCTATAAAGCCTATTGTGGAACCGATGCCATATAAACCAGGTTTGCTTTTGAATACATCTATGTAGTAGATTATCGGCAAATTAAATATACAAATGTCAACGTGATAAAATAATATCAATTTTAATAAATTGTTATGTACGCATGTTATGCTAGGGTTGGCCGCAGTGAGCAATTTTGGTATCGGCGGTGCGAACGCACACGTATTGCTCGAACCCAACCATAAGTTGGGAACCAGTGATGGACTGAGAATTGCGGAAACGATTCCCAGAATTGTCAACATTTGCGGCCGAACTGAAGATGCGGTCAAATATGTGATGGATTTCATACAAAACAGCCCGAAGAGAGTGACGAATGACTTTTTGGCACTTTTGGCACAGACTATGAAATACACGCCTAATGTTCACTCATCGGGAATGCCATACAGGGGTAGGAATTCGTATATTTTTAAATTAATTATTATATTAATTAAAATTTTAACATCAAACTAATTGGAATTAATAAAATTTTTAATTATTAGGTTCACTTATAATTAAAAAAAATTCAGAAACGAATAATAATTTTAATTACGAATACAAGAGACAACTTGGCTTTCAGAAAGGTAAAAGTGTGAGACCTTTATGGCTACTGTTCCCGGGTTTGGGCGGTCAGTGGCCGGCAATGGCTAAGGCTTTGATGCCAATCAAGATATTCGCCGATAAAGTGGAAGAATGCCATCAAATACTGCAAGAGTTTGGAATGGATTTGAAGACAATGTTATTATCCGAAGACAAGGCATCGATGGCTACAATGACCGCAAAGTTCTGTTCGACGACTGCTATAGAGATAGCGTTGTTTGAAGTGATGAAAGCGCTGGACATCACACCCGACGGTATAATTGGCCACTCGTTTGGAGAGATAGCCT